AAAGAAAGAAGGCATCTACATAACATCAAAGTGCAAGGTAAAGGAGCCAGTGCTGCTTTAAAAATAGAAAATCTAGCTAAGATAATTAGTGAAGGTGACTATGCTAAACAACAGATTTTCAGTGTAGATGAAACTGCCTTCTGTTGGAAGAAATGCAATTTAGGACTTTGATAGTTAGGAGAGGTCAGTGCCTGGCTTCAGAGCTCTCTTATTAGTGGCTAATGGAATTTTAAGTCAATGCATATTTACTATTTTGAAAATCCTAGGGCCCTTAAGAATTATGTTAAATCTACTCTGCCTATGTTCTAAAAATGGAACCACAAAGCCTGGATGATGGCACATCTGTTTACAAATATTCTAAGTCCGCTGTTGAGAACTTCCTTTCAAAATATTACTGCTCACTGACAATGCGCCCGGTCACCCAAGAGCTCTGAGATGAGTGTTGTTTTTATGCCATTAAACCAACAACATCCCTTCTGCAGTTCATAAATTAAGGGATCATTTCAGTGTCCACATGTTATTATTTAAGAACTACATTTTCTAAGGTTATAGCTGCCATAGATAGGGATTCTTCTGATGGATCTGGGTAAATTGAAAACTGCCTGAAAAGTTTTCACCATTCTAGATGCCATTAACAATATTTGTGAAAAACTGAGGACTGATGGATGTGGGGGGGAGGGGGGATGGGCATGGAGGAGGGCACTTGTGGGGATGAGCACTGGGTGTTATGTGGAAACTAATTTGACAAACTATTTGTAAAAAAATTTAAAAAAATCACTTAAAAAAACCCAATATTTGTTATTCATGGAAAGAGGTCAAAATATCAACATTAACAGGACTCTGGAAAAAATGGATTTCAGCCCTCATGAATAACTTTGAGAGGTTTGAGACTTGATTGGAGAAAGTGACTGCAGATGTGGAAATAGGAAGAGAACTAGAATTAGAATTGGAGCCTGAAAATCGGACTGAACTGCTGCAATTTGTGATAAAACTTCAATGGATGAAGAATTGCTTCTTACAGATGAGCAAAGAAAGTAGTTTCTTGAGATAGAAACTATTCCTGGTGAAGATGCTGTGAAGATTGTAGAAATGACAACAAAGGGGTTAGAATATCACAGAAACTTAGGTGATAAAGCAGTGGCAGGATTTGAGAGGATTGATTCCAGTTTTGAAAGAAATTCTGTGGGTAAAATGCTATCAAACAGCATCATATGTGACAGAGAAATTGTTTGTGAAAGGAAGAGTAATTGATGTGGCAGACTTATTGCTGTCTTATTTTAAGAAATTTCCACAACGGTTCCATTCTTCAGCAGCTACCACCCTGATCCATCAGCAGCCATCAACTTTGAGGCAAGACCCTGCACCAGCAAAAGGATTGTGAGTTGCTGAAAGCTCAGATAATGATTAGCATTTTTTTTAGCCATAGAGTATTTTTTAATTAAGATATATACACTGATTTTTCAAATATGCTATTGCACACTTTAGGTAGTCTAAACATTACTATTAGCACTGGGAAACCAGAAAATTCATTTGACTTGCTTTATTGTGATGTTTGCTTTATTATGGTAGTCTGGGCCCAAATGTGCAATTTCTCCAGGGAATGCCTGTATTCTCACTAAATTAAACAGTACAGTGGACTCTTGAAAGACAACATGGGTTCATTTATATACTGTAAATGTATTTTATGATTTTCTTAACATTTTCTTTTTTCTAGCTTATTTTATTATAAGAATACAGCATATAATACATGTAACACACAAAATATGTGTTCATCTGTTTGTATTACTGGAAGAGTTGACAATAGACTATTAATAAGTTTTTGGGGAGTCAGAAGTTATATGCAGATTTTCAGCTGCATGGCAGGATGCCTCTAACTCTGCATTGTTCAATGGTCTACTGTTTATTAACATACTTAGACGTATTGTCAGTAATCAACTACTATGGAATATTGTTGCTTTAAAATTAATTTTCACATAACCAGAGTATGTAGAAAGGACTCATTCCTGATCATTTCAGTTAAATATAAGTTATTGTAAATAATGATAGATGAGGTCCCATGAAAGGCTTGAAATGATAATTTTAAATTGAGTTTTACTGAGAGTGGAATACTGGGTAATTGTGCTTGACACAGCTACTCATAGTCTCTCTTTTTACTTTCATTCTGCATCCAGCTGCTAACCTGTCTACCAAAAGCTATGTCATTATGTGAAGTTTTATGTATATGTTAATTTGGCCATTAAGTAATATTCAATTTCACTATGTTATTAGTACTATAAAAGATAAAGAAAAGAAGTACAGCTGCTATGCTGCCTGTGACTTAGAGGTTAGAGCATAGAGCTCATAAGTCTAGGTTGTCATATTCTAGGCAACCCTTAAATAGTCTCAATTATTTTAGGTTACTGCATGAAATTTCCCCACACCTGGAAATTTCTTCATATACAGTACATAGTGTTATAAAGTTACCCAGTAAAACTTTCCAAATATAGCATTTTTAATACCAGAGTTGTTCAGTATCTGCCTCTGCATTGTTGTCACACTCAGTATATCCTTATGAGGATGGAACATCTCTTATTACAGAGTCCATCTGCCTCTCTTTCTAAAATACAGTTAAAGTTGTTCATGGTGTTTTCTGTGGGCACAGGTGAAAATACTTTTGGAGTTAACAAAAATCACATAAGCTCTCTGACCTAAGAGATGAAGTGGATTCTCTTCTTTCTCAGTAATATTGGAGAGCTCCCACAGAATTAATCCTAATTCCTTATGCTGGCTTTCCTAGGAGAAAGTGCCTTTTGATTATGCCACTTACCACTTAATAAATAAATTTAATCACGTGAATTTTCTGGAGACCTGTGATTTACTCTCTCCTTAGGAGCTTTCTTCTAAGATGACCTTAAAAATTTGAAATGGTTGCTTTGCTTTTGAGACCCAGTGACTGATAGTTTAGATTGACTCTCTTTTTCTCTCTCTCTAAATATATGCAAATGATATATCCAATAAAGGGTTAATACCCAAAACATATAAATAATTTAAACAACTCAAAAAAAAAAAAAAGAATTCAATTAAAAAATGGTCAGGGGACCTGAATAGACATCTTTCTAAAGAAGATATAAAGATGGCCAATAGACACATGAAAAGATGCTCAACATCACTAATCATCAGGGAGATGCAAATTAAAACTGCAATGAGATATCATTTTACACATATCAGAATGACTAAAACAAAAAACACAGGAAACAAGTGTTGATGAAAATGTGGAGAAGAAGGAACCCTAGTGCACTGTTGGTGGGAATGCAGAATGGTGCTGCTACTGTGGAAGACTGTATGGAGGTTCTCCAAAAAATTAAAAATAGAATTACCATATGATCTAGTAATTCCACTACTGGTTATTTACCCATAGAAAATGAATATAGGCGCCTGGGTGGCTCGGTTGAGCATCCAACTTCAGTTCAGGTCCTGATCTCACAGTTCATGAGTTCGAGTCCTACATCAGGCTCGCTGCTGTCAGCACAGAGCCTGCTTCAAATCCTCTATCCCCTCTCTCTCTGACCTCCCCTATTTGCATGCTTTCTCTCAAAAATCAATAAACATTTAAAAAATGGTAATTCAAAAAGATACAAACATTCCTGTGTTCATTGCAGCATTATTTACAGTAGCCAAGACATGAAAGCAATCTGTGTCCATCAATAGATGAATGGGTAAAGGAGTGGTATATGTATATATATTATTATTTAGCCATAAAGAATGAAATCTTGGGGCACTTGGGTGATTCAGTCGGTTAAGTGTCTGACTTCAGCTCAGGTCATGATCTTGTGGTTCGTGGGTTTGAGCCCCATGTTGGGCTCTGTGCTGACAGCTCACCCTGGAGCCTGCTTTGGATTCTGTCTCCTCTCTCTGCCTCTCCCCCATCTGTGCTTTGTCTCTATCTCAAAAATAAATAAACACTAAAAAAAGAATGAAATCTTGCCATTTGCAACAATATGGTTGGAGTTAGAATGTATAATACTCAATAAAAAGGTCAGTCTAAGACCAGTATTGATTTCACTCATGTGGAATTTAATAAAAGAAAAAAAAAGACAAAAGAAAAAAACAAGGTATATTGAAAGAGACCGTCAAAATTTAATGAGTTTTTATTTTTACTTTTTATTTTTTCAAAATGTTTATTTTGAGAGAGTATGAGCAGGGGAGGGGCAGAGAGAGGGTGAAAGAGAATCCCAAGCAGGCTCCATGATGTTGGTGCAGAAGCTGTCACAGGGCTTGAGTCATTGAAACGTGAGACTATGACCTGAGTCGAAACCAGAAGTTAGTTGCTTAACTGACAGAGCCACCCAGATGCCTCTAATGATTTTTTAAAATAAACTTATCAACAAAGTCATTTTCATGTGAAATGAGTTTCCATATTTTTGCAAAGACTTGTCAAAATTACAAAATATATGCACAGATTAAGAATAATATGTACAGTAGTTTCCTAAAAGTCATAAAACATAGCAGTTTATAAAATGTAACAAAATTAACTTTTTTACTTTGAAATTTAGCACCTAATCTGGTTTTTATCTTTTATTTATTACTGATTTTTCCTTGTTCAATAATATCAAAGCACTTGGGATTCATACTGCCAGTCAGAGTTGAAATACAGGAACTTTCAGTCCAGAACCAAACCAAAAAGTCACAATAGCCTTCTGACTCTTCTATATCCTGATGTTTGTTAATTGACAAGCAGTAACAGTGTGTCCACCTTTATTTGATCTTAATCTGGAGATGCCCCTTCTATATCAAGACAAGTTAGTACTTTAAAATACTGAAGTGTTTGAGTGACTCTTCTGCTTGATGTGGCATATTCTCTGCTTAGTTCAAATGGTCTAGAATGAAATGTTTAAAAACAAAACTTAGCAAACTAGGAATTAAAAAGAACTCCCTTAAACTGATAAAGGGTGTCTACCAAAAACCTAAAACTAACGTCATATTTAATGGTAAAAGACTGCATGCTCTTCTTTTATGTTTAGGAACAATTCAAGAATTTCTGACCTTACCACTTCTATTCAACAGTGTACTGGAGTTCCTAGCTATGCAGTAAGGTAAGAAAATAAATAAAAAGCACATACTAGAAAAAAATAAACTGTCTTTATTCATAGACAACCTGCTTGTGTTTCTAGAAAATCCTAAGGATTTTTTTAAAAAGCCCTTAAAACTATTAAATCAGTCTATTGAAATCACAGTATATATAATCAATATATAGAAATCATTTTTAGTTTTGTATATGCTTATTTCATAATAGTGAACAGTCGGAAACTGGAAGTTCAATAACAGTGTCATTTATAATAACATAAAAAACGAAATACTTAAGAATAAATAATAATTGTGTATAAGACCTGATGCTGAAAGCAACAAAATACTGCTGATATATATTAAAGAAGATGTAAGTAAATGGAAATGTATACTATGTTCATGGATCAGAAGACTCAATAAGTTTAAAATTTCACTTCTCCCAAAATTGATCTATAGATTCAACACAGTCTCAGTCAAAACCCTAGGAGGCTTTTTGATAGAACTTGATAAGCTGAGTCTGTAATTGATATGGAAATTCAGAAGATCTATAATAACCCATATATTTTTTTAATGTTTTATTTATTTCTAGGAGAGAGAGAGAGAGAGAGACAGCATGAGCAGGGGAGGGTCAGAGAGAGAGGGAGTCACAGACTGAAACAGGCTCCAGGCTCTGAGCTGGCAGTCAGCACAGAGCCCGACGCGGGGCTCGAACCCACGAACCGCGAGATCATGACCTAAGTGAAAGTCAGACGCTCAACCGACTAAGCCACCCAGGCGCCCCTATAATAACCCATATTTTAAAAAAAAGAGACAAAATTTGAGGAATTAACACTTTGATTTTAAGATATGCCATGATAAAATTGTAGTATTCAGGACTGTGATGTTAGCATAAGGGCAGATCAGTTGAACAGAGCAGAGTTTAGAAAGATGTACACATTTATGGTCTGTTGATTTTTGACAAAGGTGCCAAGGCAACTGAGCATACGGTACTGGAGAAATGGTAGATCGTTCAAGTTTAGGGGTATGTGCCTTGACGCTTATGTCATATTGTATCCAGAAATTAACTTGAATGAATTATAGTTGTAAACCTACGAGCTGAAACTTATTATAATATTCATAGAAGATAATGTGACTTTGCTAAGGCAGTATTTCTTAAGAAGACTCAAAAAGCATGCATGATAAGAGAATGAATATTGATAAATTTCACGTCTTGAAAATTAAAGTCTTTCTTTCAAAGACATGATTACAGAGCAAGCAACAAGGTTATATTACAAAAAAACATTTATCCTGAGATGGGTATAATTTGTAGCCTTTTTATGCAATCCATCACTCCAGTATAGTAGGAAGAGTAGAGAAGTGTAGTAGACTCAGGAACTTCTCATACATAATCCTAACTTTAGCATTTGTCAGAGATACAGTTTACGAAATTTAGTTTTTTCACATTCTCTGAGCCTTGGTTCATTCTTTTTTGTGAAATTGTAATATTCATATCTATCTTATAGGATTATATTGATGGTCAAATAAATAGGTATAAAAATATAAGAATGCTAGTACAATTTTTTTAATGTTTGCTTATTCTTAGAGACAGAGTGCGAGTGAGGGAGGGGCAGAGAGAGAAGGAGACAAAATCCGAAGCAGGGTCTAGGCCCTTAGCCATCAGCACAGAACTTGGTGTGTGGCTTGAACTCACAAACCTTGAGATCATGACCAGTGTTGAAGTTGGATGCTTAACCAACTGAGCCACCCAGGCTCCCCATAGAATGCTTTTGCTGTTCTTAATGTATCATTGTCATCATTATTGTTGTCATACATAATTGGACCTTAATTACTCCCTCTCCTTTTCACATAACCAACTATAATTATATACTTAAAAAATTATTTTAATGTCTGTTTATTTTTTAGAAAAAGAGACAGAGCACAAGTAGGGGAAGGGCAGAGAGAGAGGGAGACACAGCATGTGAAGCAGGCTCCAGGCTCTGAGTTGTCAGCCCAGAGTCTGATGGAGGCCTCGAATTCATGAACTGCGAGATCATGGCCTGAGCCAAAGCCTGATGCTCAACCTACTGAGCCACCTAGGCACCCCTAATTATAATATCTTAAGGAGAGTCTAAAGTTATTAATTTTTTTAAGATTAAAAATTTTTTAATCTCTACATCCAATGTGGGGCTTGAACCCATAACCCCTACATCAAGAGTCACGTGTTCCACTGACTGAGCCAGCCAGCAGCCCCTGAAAAATTTTTTAAATATTTTACTAGCGGTGTGAACATCCATAAACTCCAGTTTATCCTTCTGATCCTTGTTGACAGTAGAAATCAAAAGTGGATGTAGTCTTTTTTTTTTTTTCCTTTTTCCTTAAGGGACAATCTACTTATACTCTTTTGTGTATGCCCTGTACTAGCCAGTCCTTTTTACCAGCATTACTTTTATGAGCAATTGAAGAAACATTCTCTAGAGAGGTAGAGATAATAAGTAATAATCATGTCATTTGTTTTTATATGAATAAATATAACATAAATGTATACTATGTGTTATATAAACTATAATGATAACAGGAGTAATTGATCATTAGTTTACTTTTTTAGTGTAGTGATATTCAGCTGTACTCTAAAACATGTAATTAACCACTGTAAGAAATGAAAGATAGTTAAGTGGTTACAAAGAACATATTAGGTACTCTGCACTAAAAAGAGAATGATTTCATGTCAAATGAGACAAACTCTATTGCTTCACAAATCTACTTGTCTTTGGCACAGAGAAAATGAGTTTTTTAATACCCAAAAGTTAGACTATAGAGACTCACCCATGACTCATCCATTATAAATTTAAACTTTCTGTATTACAAAGGTTAAGAATCTCTTTTTTATCAAGGACCGCTGAACGAAAAAGAATAGCAACTGAGGTCACTTTCAAGAAAACCAAATTAACGGATTTGGGAGCAAGAAAATTAGAAGACATTATCGTCATTTTACTTGTAAAGTACAATATTGTTCTTCATTTTATATTAAGGTAGATAGGATAGGATATGAGACAGTAGAATTGGAAAAAATCAAAAGAAAAAAGTATTGTTTCTTCCTTTTTTCAGTTGTTGGTTCACTACCTTTTCAGTTACCCAGTTCACTGGGACAGGGTGAGAAAGATAGACAAGAGGAATGATACAGGATTGGTAGTGAGGATGGTATAGCTGAGGTAGACAAAGATTTATAAATTGGTTCTGGAGAATTTAAAGTGGGTATCAGTATTTCTATACAGAGACCCTAAGTTCTTTGGATTGTGGTAATAAGTTTGTACTGTTATTCATACTCATTGAAGTTCTCTTTTTCTTACTAGCAGTTAACTGTTATTCCACCTCTGTTCTTTCCAACTTTATGCTACATTTTAACTAAGGAAAATCATTCTTACATGTACAACATAATCATTTTATGGAGTACTTGCTATAGGCCAGATAGATTCATAACCCAGTTCCTTGGATCAGTCTCTGTGTGATGTGGATCTTCTTATTCGTGGCTTTTAAATTTTGTTTTTCTATAGAGAAAAAAATGTCCTTTCTGTTTATGGGAATAAAGTCCAATAGATTTTGTTGAATGCAGTCTAGTGATTGGACCTACTGATGTTGCCAAAATAAATAAACCTTTGAGACTGGAGACTTTGTTTTTGTATCTTCCATAATATTTTACACAAAGTAGAGACTTAACATTTATTAATACAAGTAAGATTGTTATTTGCATCATTTAGAATCCTCATGTGTTAGAAAAGGTAAAGAGTAATAAGTATGTTTGATGGCTAAGAATAGCATTGAATTTCGAAGTGTGATCATCAAGAGATTTTTTTAAAGGCAATTTCTGGGAGAAAACTGAAAAATACAACACTAGAAAGTGCTGTTTGTGTTTCCCCTTATCTGTTCACTTTTGCCCCTCCATATATTATGCTACTTTCTTTTGCCCGACCCCCTTAGCTTATACCCACAGTTGCTTTTTTTAATATCTCAGTTATTAGGGCTTATAAGGGATTCCTCATTTGAATCTCTGTCTCTCTGTTATTTTCTCTTTCTTACTAAGAAGACCACATGCCTATTATTATTTACATTTAATTAAAGACAAATAACTGCCTTTTGCCTTAAATTATCATAGTAGAGTTCTTATGTATCTTAGTATCCCAGGCCTGATCAGTTCTCCATATTTCAGATAACAGACTTTGATATCTGTTCCACATTGATGATCAGGGATCTATAATGTTAAAAGGAAAGAGCAGTGTTGAAATGTGACCTTGCACAAGTCAACCTCATTTAGCTGGCTTTCTTTATCTGCATATTTGAGAATTAATATTTGTCCTTGAACCTAATAGAATCTGTTGTGGGTATAAAATTAAGCAAATCTTTGTAAGGTGCACAAAACCTCTGCAACTTTAACATATTATAGGGATGATTTTTCTAAAGTACCATTTAGGAAAGTCTATATCATACTCTATGAAGCAGCCAGGGGTATCTTTTCAGTCTCTTCATTTCTTTATCTGTACTAGCCTCTCAATCCTTGATGGAAATTCAGTCCACTTCTAAAAGCCTAGGGCAGGGGCGCCCGGGTGGCTTAGTCGGTTGAGCGTCCGACTTTCGCTCAGGTCATGATCTCGCAGTTCGTGGGTTCGAGCCCCGCGTCGGGCTCTGTGCTGACTGCCAGCTCAGAGCCTGGAGCCTGTTTCAGAGTCTGTGTCTCCCTCTCTCTCTGACCCTCCCCTGCTCATGCTGTCTCTCTCTCTCCTAGAAATAAAAATAAAAAAAAAAAATAAAAAATAAAAGCCTAGGGCAGATGTCACCACCTTCATAAATTATCTCTTTATACCCTGAATTAAAAGTGATATCACCTTTAGAATTCAGATAATCTGGCAACCTTTTAATGGACACAGCAGTTGTCTTTTATTTTTAGTCTTTTCAATCCACCCATTACTCTTGTATGAAACATCTAAATATTATAAAATAAATTGGAGTAGGGCAGTAGTCACTCAAACCTTAAGTATGTCTTAAGATCACATGTCAT